CGACTGCGCCTGTTGCCGAGGACCATAGAGCTCGACATCGGTCGAGTTCTGGTGCGAACGGCGTTTGGGGGGCGGGGGCTGACGGCGTGAGGCTCGGGGCATCTGCGGCAACAAGGGGCGCCCTACCGAGAGCTGACAATGTCGAGCTTGCTCGGGATCTGACGACCAGGATGGCGGAGCTCCGCTGCCATGGTGCCTCGAAAGGAGTACATGTCATTTGCGCGGACATGTGCGACCGACTCCGAGCTCACCCAGATGGTTGGGCTTCACGCGCGGTTCGCGGGCCAGAAGATCTTCGACTTCGCGAACAGGGGCGTGGCGAGCAACGATTGGCACTGCGCTGCCCCTGAGGGCGCGTGGGAGAAGCAGCCGTGCAACCAAACGCCGTAATAAGGACGCCTGATTTTGCGCAGGGTAACCTTGCGTCCTTGCTCTTCCTTGCTCTTGCGCCCTTGAGGTTTTCATTGTCCGCCGCCCCAAAGATCCCGACTTCGGCTTCGACGGGTCTTGCGTCCTTACCGCGCGTCCTTATCAGGTTTTGACTGTGCCATGACACTAGTGTCATGCCGTTTTCTGATGCCATTGCAATATTCCACGAAGCGCGAGGCGAACCACATCCCGAGGGGGCAAAGACGCTCCTTCGCTTGTGCCTACACAACCAAACAGCGGGGTGTCATGCATACTGTCAGGGCGGGTCCATCCTCGCATCCATCGCAGCATCTGACAAGAGGGGAATTTCAACTTCGACCGTCAGCAGAGCTTCGCGACAAAATGGTACCCGTTGTCGTGTATTGTTGTGGAGTGGAAATGGCATGGGCTCGGACCGCGAGGACAGGCGTCTTCGCGGCACGGCACCGGGGGCGGATATTCAGCAGCACTTCGGTGTGGAGGCGAATTTGCTGGAGCAAGTGAAGCAGCCGGTGGACATGCAGGCCCAGTACGCCCAGAGGGATCATGCTTACATGGTCGTCCTGGGACTGGGCGATGCCCGGTCCTGGGGGGTCCCTCCCACCAGCGGCGAGTTCGTCGCTTGGAACGCGCCAGCGAGCCGGCTTGCTGCCGTCGCCAACAACAGGGGAATATATTGGGAAGAGGCTGGGTTCCCATGCGAGATGCTATGGGCGCGAGGGTCGGAGCTGTACAAACAGGGGCCAATTCAGCTCGCGGAGAAGGTGGCCCGATCGGAGCAGGCCCACATCTAGCTTCGGCTCGGTTGCTATTGTGCCAGTTTCAAGGAGGTGAAGCACGGTGCCAAGAGGAAACCATTGTTCTTGCGGCCGGTAAATTCGCGTGACTTTGCGATGCTCAGAACGCGGCGTTACGCATCGACCTATATCAGTTTGTCGCCTATGTCAGTCGACCCAGCACGCCCTCAGACGACGGGGCATGCACCTCCCTCAGATGACATGGTCGTGGACTCAGGACCCCCTGCCAACGAGCCAGGGCAGTCGTCCGCAGCAGATGCGGGAGGGGGGTGGGCCAGGCTACGCCGCCGTCTCCCCGCTTGATCACTTACCTTCTGCGGCTGCCCCTGAAGCCGATGCTCGAGGACATGGGCCCGTCGAGGGCGCGAGGCCCCACGGGGGCAGCAGGCAAACAGGAAACAGCTGGAGGCTGTCGATTTGGACGCGCCCGATGAAGATGATCCCTTTCCACCCGCCCCACCAGGAGCGGCCCGTGTGCATGCTACAATGCAGGGCATTCATGTGGAGGGAAAAGAAACGGACTAAGGCGAGCCTGGCGTGTCGGAAGAGCAGGTCGAGTCGAGCGAGACAGAGGGCATGGTGGAGGGCGCGCTGGTGGAGGTTATACCCCGCGGGCGCCCCCCTGATCCGATTCCTTCGGACGCGCTGTCCGTCGAGCTTCCTCTGGCCTTTTCGCCCAAAAACCTTCGCCTCAGTCGGGCGCCGGCGCCTCCCGATCGCGCGCAGATTTCGGTCGAAGAATGCCTGCGGAGGAAGGTGCAGGACTGAGGCGCAGCAAAAAAATGGATTCGAGATTTCCGAGAAGGACGAATATGGCGCCCCGCTCATCGATGACAGGGATGACATAGCATTGCGTGCCATCCCCGTAGAACTGGCGCGGAAGCTGAAAGAGCTGCGCGACGCGGGCCCGGAGCTTTCTGGGGCGTAAAAGAAGGGGCAGGGGGCGCGAGAAGACAGCGCTGGAATGGGCGCGTGGAATGGTGTCAGTCTGGCTTTCCGAGTTCATTCGGCAGTTGCCTGCAGGCGACGCTTCAAAAGCTCGACGATTTCTACGTGCTCGTTTCAAACCCTCTGGACCTCGCTGCGTTCCACCCCGGGAATTCCGCCCCGTCCCGATTGATTTGAGCAGGGACGAAGGCTTACTTGCGCACTACTCGGGAATGGGCGTGGAGGAACCTGGGCGCCTGGGCCCGCTCGTCGCCAACCTGGCCATGCGCGGCGCGGCCCGCGTTCGGAGCTCAATGGGGGTGGATGGAGGCGCGCGCCATCGTTGAGAGGATGAACGGCGAAGGGCGCGACATGGCATGGGCGCGCTTTATGCGCGCTCTCGCCCAGTTGCCCCCCTACGCGGCCCAGGTTCTCGGCGCGGCAATCGCGCCGCCATTTGCGTGGGTGCCGTTGATGTTTCGTTCCTGCAGAGGTCATTCAGTTGGGGCTGTAGACCCGAAACGCTCGCGCGTTCGGTGCGAGGCTGCAGCAGATGCCTCCCATGAGGCGATCGTCGTTCCCCTGGAAGACGCTGCCATGAAATGGCCTATGACCGGCCTTCTTGGAGCGCCAAAGAATGTTCCACATGTTGTCCGGCATTTTTGTAGTCTTTTTCCGGCCACGTCTTTTTGATGATCGGACCGTCTGGGCGCTGCATGACGCCACCCTGGCGACTACATGTCGCCCCGAGTGGATCGGCGCCCGCCAGAATTTGCGGCTCACAGCGTCGGGCATCCAGCATGCAGTGCATCTGCTGCAGAGGTGTCGTGGACGTTGGTTCATGATCGACGATGCGCGGCGCTGCTGGTTCGACCGCAGTTTGGCACATGCTGCCTTGACTTTGCGAGGCAGAACTGTGAGATCCGTCTCCTGCCCGACGTGGATGAGGGCGACGAGCTCGTCGCCGCATGCCAGGGGGATGCGCTATGCGCTCCTAACATGTGGGATGGCGGATATCTCCTGTGGTGCAATGACTGCTGACATCGGATCGGGGCGTTGATGTGCGTCGCATGTCTGAAGATGATGCGCTGCGGCAGCGCGATTGTCGACGCCGAGCAGATCGAGTCGCAGATCGATTTCAAGGACTTTGGCCTCGATTCGGTGCGCTTGGACGGCGTCCGCGACCCCGGGCCGACGAGATGGACTGGGACAGACACTGATCGAGTTCAGCGAATTGCACGCAACAAATGGTTCGACATCGCCGAGGCTGCGATGCTCGAGCGCTGGGAGCGCTCTTCAGGGCGCACGCCACAACAACATCATAGATGTCTTCGCGTGGTTGCGCACGTGCCCAGAAGATGCATTGCCTCTCCCGCAGAATCCCTACGGGGTCGACAAGACGAGCAAGCTGGCCCAGAGATGCGAATGAGTGGTTCCCCCGAGTGTTGGGCGATCAATCAGCAGGTGGGCGGTGGAAGAAGAGAGATGCGCTGTCGGGGGGCACTTCATGCGGACCCCCTTCGACTGGGGCGACACGAACCCGGAATGCCGTCGTCGGGGCGCGCCCAGCTGTGGTTTGTCCGCTTGGTGCGCATCGGCGCCAGGAGCGAACGACATCGAGCCACCCGCCCGCCTTGAGGCTGTCGTGAGGGCCGAAATCGCAGTGCACTGGCCTGCGGCCGTGACTCTGCGACCCCTCCGATCAAGACAAGGCCCGCGCGCGCGGGCGTGCCAGCTGATTATGTCGGTGGCGCGCTTGGGCGTGAATCTTCTTCCAGAGGTGCGAAGCGGCCGCGTTCCGCGCGGCCTGAGGGCCGTCCGAAGGCAGAAGACACGGGCGGTGATGGCGCGGGCAAGGGGAAGGACGATGCGAGCACTGGCGAAGGGAGGAAGAGGACCAGCAGCCGGGCGCCTGATGACCAACGAGAGTGTCGGAGGCGCCGCGCTGCCGATCCGTCGCAGCGCGATGCCCGCAGAGAGCGGGGGCCGTCTTTGCTGGATACACGCCGACGCTCCGCCCTCCAGCAGCCCGGGACCTTAGGGCCCCCCCGTGGCGCTCAGGTGCCGAGCCGCCCGTGCGCCAGAGGCGCGGGCGTGATGCCGCGGAGCTGCAGGGCGCGGATGCTTCCAGCCCGTGGCAGGGCAGTGCCGCTGACTGGTTGTCATCGCGGACGTGGAACTCAGGCGGCTGGAACAGCGATAGCTGGGGCTCGCGTGACCGCTGGCGAGGGTGGCAAGAAGGGAACGAGGCGGAGGCCAGTGGCGATGCCGCCAGGCCTCCCCTCGAGCTCAATCACTTTGCGGCTCGACTGCGTCCGTTCGGGGCGGTTGAGCCGCCGCGGGGCCACGGTGCGACGCACCTGCGTCGAGTGCGCGGCGAGCCAGTGTGCGGCCAGACTGGTGGGCGCCGCTGTCGCTGGCGTTTTTACAATCACTTCGAAGCGTGGCCTGCAACCGGCGCGCCCGCCTGCGCGCGTGGGGCACGCTGGGCTGGCTGCGGGGGGAGTCGTTTTAGGCGACCCCTCAGGCCCATTTATGCCCCGTTGGCGCTGAGAAAAAGACGGCGCACTCCCCGCCGTGCGCGCGGCCGGCACCCTCCTAGGGCCAACCTAAGCGTAACGGACACATTCCCACAGGCATTCGTGGCGCGGATGACTACGACCCCAGGTTCATTTTCGCCGGGGATCAACCTGAGCAAGAGGCTTCGAGAATATAATGAGGAACAACCGATCAACATGGTCAAACATAGTTTAGTGTTCCACACGTTTTTGAATCCTCGCCGTCGGTCCCGTTGCCGTCCATCGTGTCCGATGGCCACCTTTGCTCAAGTCTTTTTCCAGGTGATGAAGGACGCCCTCCGCCCCCTAGTCGACGCGGGGGTTGCGGGCGCCCGAGAGCTGGCCCGCGCGGGCCTGCACGCTGGCGCGTCGTGGGCCCTTCTCCCGAGCTGCCCATCGGTGCCGGCGTGCCCGCTCTGCCCCGCCGTGCATCCGTGCCCCGCCTGCCCGGGGTGCCACTGCGCCCGTGGCAAGGCGCCTGACGGGCCCGGGGCGCCGGGAGGCGGAGGGGGCGAGCCTGCCTGGTGGCTGGGCTCGCCCGAGGCCGTGCCGCAGTGCGACGCGCTGGCGGCCGCGGTGCGAGAGGTGGCGGAGCGGAGCACGATCTGCCACGACGCAGGCTGGCTCTGCGTGGCGGCGTTGGTGCTGGGGCTCGTGCTCGGCAGCCTCCTGACGCGGGCCTGGGTGGCGGGCTCTGGGAGCGATGGCGCTGGTGGAGCTGCGCGGCCCCCGCTCGTCGGCGGGTCCTTCGGCGAGGCTGATCCCGGGATGCCGGGCGATGGTCCGCTACGCCGAGGACGACCTCTGGCACGAGCGGATCCTTCTGTATCCGGCCGCCTCGGACGTTGAGGGCGGGGCGCGCTGGGTCGTCCTGACCCCGGACGGCGACGTGCACCTCGAGGAGCTAGAGGGCGGCTCGCCGGAGGACAGCCCCGTGGAGTGGCAGCTCGTGGCGCGTGACCTGCGGCTGCCGCCAGGACTGGGCCGGTCCTATCGCTTTGGGGAGGACCAGCCCGGCGAGCTGCGGGGCCTGCATCGCCGGGCGTACGCGACCTCGACGGCCGACGCTCGGAGTCGCGGGCTGCAGCTGGCGGTGCCCCAGGTGATCCGCTCCCAGGAGGGTCGCGACGTCTCGGTGGAGGACGAGCTCGGGCGCAACTTCTTCGGCGGGCGGCGGGTGACTGGCAAGCAGGGAATGCCTGCCGCTGGTGACGCGCTGGCGGCCAGGACGGGCGGGCCTGGCGACCAGGTGGCGGACGGCGGCGATGCCCTGGCCGCCCCCGCGGTGCCCAACTCGGTGGGCGGCGCCGTGACCCCTCCTCCGCCCGGGCACTTCTGGCGCGCCGCGGAGCCTGACAGCTCGCGGCCGATCGCGGTTGGCGATTGGGTTGGCACTCCGAGTCTGGCCCTGCACGATCGCGGACTGTTTGAGGTGGCGCCTGGGCGGGCTATCGTGGTGCACCTCGCTGCCCTGGACAAGGGCGCCTTCGCGGCCTCCCTCAGGCCCGCTGCCTCCGTCGGCGACGCCCCCGTCGGCGGCGCGGCCGCGACGGGCGACGCCCGCGCCCTTCCTGCGAGGACGGGGCCGCGCGGTCGGGGGCGCAAGTGGCGCGACGTGGTGGACTCGTGTGAGGAGGGGCCCTTCGGTGACTTCCCGGTGGCGGGCCCAAGGTTGACGTCGTGGTGTCTCGACTTCCTTCGGAGGCGCCGCGCCCCGACGGACCGCCACCTGATGTTCAAGACGACGGCCCGCCTCCAGATGGAGCAATGGGGAGTCCAGGAGCATGAGCAGCCCATGAAGTACCTCGAGCTGGCCGGCACCTACGACCAGCTCGACCTCAGCAACTGCGCCTTCGCGGAGGCGATCCTCCGACGGGCGCAGACCATCGAGTGGGCTTATCATGATCGGCTTCGAGAGGCGGACTCCGCGAGCTCAAAGGACAAGATGAGCCCTGAGGAGTTCTCGGCGTTCAGCGGCTTCAGCAAGGCTGGCGACCTCCTCATGGTGGCCCCGCATTTGCTGGAGCACGTCAAGACGCAGGTCGAGAAGGACGCCGCCATCATGAAGAACATTCGGAAGGCCAGAGAAGAACGATAACTCCGCCGCAAGGGCCCCCAGGCAGGGGACGGCGGCGGAGGCAAGGGATGATGCAGCAGCGGGGGGGGGGCCATCAGGCGGCCGCCTCCTCCCCGGACCTCGAGGCCGCCAGGATGGAGGACGCTCCCTCATCCGTGCCTGGACGAATTCAACCCGATTATGCAGCTGATCGTCGGGACCTTTTTCCTGTCCCCCTCCTGCGCGTGGACAGCCAGGCGCCCTCAGAGGGCGTGGTGTGCCGCAGTGTGCGGCGGCGGCTGCTTCGGCGTGACGCCATCGTGCAGGAGTGCAACCGCGTCATCGGGGCCTTGAACGACCTGGCCGGGAGGCCCCAGGCGCCAGGCGCCCCGGGCCTGGCGGAGCGGCGTCCCCATCGGCTGGTGCGCGAGCGCGTCCGCCGCGCCGCAGTCGAGCTGGGCCCGCCACCACCCGACCTCACTCCCGCGGGAGCCCTCAGAGAGCTCCGCGGCGCCAGCGTGTACGAAGATCTCGACTCGCCGGTGGTCAGCTTCGACGATTCCCTTTTCTCGCTGCCGGAGGCCGGCAACATCCCTGCGCCGCTCGGGCAGCTGCTCCAGGACGTGGGCGATTTCGATGCCGAGGCCTCAATACACGAGCAGCTTCTTCGAACTGAGGAGGCAGAATCTTATCTTCTGGCAGCCCCGAGGCAGCCGTACATGGACACGATTTTGAGAGGAGATCCGCGGGTTTATTCCTGTTTGGTCAAGCGGCTCGCCGACGCTGGGATGGTGACCTACACGGACACGCCCCGCGAGAGGTGCGGCCTTTTCTTCGTCCGTAAGAAGTCTGGCAAGCAGCGCATGGTGGTCGACTGCCGTCGGGCCAACTGTTGGTTCCAACGGCCAGCCTCTGTTGCTCTTGCCACCGGCTCGTCTCTTGGCGAGCTGGCCGTGCCTGAGGACAAAGAGCTCTACGTCGGGCACGTGGACATCTGCGACGCTTTTTACCACTTCGGCCTGCCCGAGGCTTTCCGGGACTATTTCGCCCTGCCGTCCGTGAAGGCCGGGGACGTGGGAATGGCGAGGCTTCGAGAGCGGCCGCTACAGCCGGGGAGCCGTGTCTGGCCGGTGCTGGCCGTGCCCCCGATGGGCTGGTCGCACGCCTTGTACTGGTGCCAGACCATCCACCGTTCCATCGTCAGCTCGATTCCCGAGCTGAGTGATGTGCCGTTCATCGCAGACAAGAGCGTAGTGCCGGGGCTGCAGCCGCTGGCAATGACGATATACGTTGACATTTTTTGGCTTTGGGCACCGACCCCGAGGCGGTGCGGCGTGCCGTCACCTTAGTCAACGCGGCCTTGACACAGAAGGGTCTCCCCACTCACGAGGTGTGTCTGTGCGATCACAATGCCGACATTGTTGGATGGGAGATTCGGGGTAAAGAGTGCGAGATTCGACCCAAGAGACCAAGGCTGTGGCGACTTCGGCTGGCTCTCGACTGTCTGGTGAGCCGCAATACCGTCGACCCGAGAGACGTCGAAAAAATGTTGGGCCATTGCACGTCTGTCGCCTTGCTATGTCGTGAGCATTTGTCCATCTTCAATTCCGTGTAATCGTTCGTGCGGAGGCTACGCCATTGTACCGCTGTGCCCCTCTGGGAGTCAGTTCGCTGGGAGCTGAACGCGTTCTCTAGCCTTCTGGGGGTGATCTCGCGAAGTATGTTGGTTGCCTGGAGTCCGACGGTGATGTGCAGTGACGCGTCGTTCTGGGGCTTCGGGCTGGTCAGCAAGGGCTTCAAAGAGGACCTCGTGGGCTCCGTGGGCGGTTTCTCGGAGAGGTGGCGGTTCCTGGAGGGCAACAATGTGCAGTCGAGGGCTTGGGCTGGAGTTGGCGATGGGCCTCTCGAGAGCTCCAAGGATTTCCAGGACATCGTGGGCTCCGAGGAGGCCTGCATCAACGCTCGCCAGTCGGCCGTCAGTCGCCTGCCTGCTGAGTTTCGGGAAGAGGGTTGGGCTGTCGTGGGCTTGCACAAGTGGGGGGACCCGCCCGACAACATCGTAGAGGGGGAGGCCCGGGCGCTGGCGTTCGGGGTTAAGCACATCTGCCGATCCACAGCGTCGTTTGGGCGCCACCACCTTCTCCTCTCGGACTCGCTGTCATCCGTCTTGGCTTTGCGCAAGGGGCGCTCTTTGGCGCCGGGGGTCTGCGGGGCGCTCCGCGCCGTCGCAGCCCATGTCGTGGCCACAGGCCTCCGCCTCGCCGCCCGATGGCTGCCCAGCGAGTGGAACTTCGCGGACGGTCCGTCGCGCGGCCTCCGGCACGTTGGGCATGCCCGAGCAGGAGGCGGAGGCGCTGACGCGGAGGCGACCTCGGACGGAGGCGGCCGATGCCAGGGAGCTGCCGCGGACGCGGGCTCTGACGAGCCCGCCCGCTGCGACGGCGCCTCGCCTCCGCCGCCTGCTGGACGGCGTGGGCCCCGCGGGCCTGGATGGCTTCTTGCCGCCCTCGGACTCGACGAACCTGGCGACCTCGCAGGCCGTGAAGCGGAGGAAGCTGTCTCGGCGGCTGGCGAAGCTCACCGAGGAGGGCTCGCGGGATATGTTGAGGAGGAGCACGGTGCGCACTCAGACCGTCAGGACCCGCTACCAGCAGCTCGACGACGAGTTCGACGAATGGATGGACGAGCAGGGCCTGCCGCGCCGGCCTCGCTTCTCGGTCGACCACGGGGAGGTGGGGCCGCTCTCGGCCTCGGACGTCGAGAGGATCGACTTGGCGCTCGCCGAGTGGATGCTGTCGCAGTACTTCGAGGGTGTCGACCACTGGCGCGGGGTGCAGATGCTGGCGGCGCTGCAGTGGAGCGACCCGCGGCTCGGCCGCGACGGGTCGGCTTCGCTGCCGGCGGCGCGCCAGACGCTGCGCGGCTGGAAGGTGCTGACGCCTGTGCGGGCGAGGCTGCCGCTCCCCGACGAGTTGGTGGCGGCCATCGCGTGCGAGCTCGTCCTCATGGGCCAGTGGGAGGCGGCCGCCTGCGCGGTGCTGTCCATGGTGTTCTACATGAGGCCCGGGGAGTGGGGGCGGGTGCTGGTGCGCCCCGCCGCCCCGCCACGCGCTGCGGGCAGCCCGGCCCTGCGGCGCTGGGCGCTGCTGCTCCACCCTCACGAGGGCGAGGGCGCGAAAGCCAGCAAGACCGCGGAGTTCGACGAGCGCATGGTCCTCGACCTCGACTGCGACCAGTGGCTGTCGGGGGTGCTCCATCGCCTGGTGGCCGGCCGCAGCGGGGACGAGCCTCTCCTCCGCATCGGCGTCGCGGAGTTCGCGGCGCTGTTCAGGCGGGCGGCGCGGCGCCTCGGGGTCAGACCCGAGCCCATGCCGCGCCTGCTCCGCCACGCGGGCGCCAGCAGGGACTTCGTGAACCAGCTGCGGCCGCTCCGCGAGGTGAAGAGGAGGGGCCGGTGGAAGACCGACACGTCGGTGCGGCGCTACGAGAAGGGCGGGCGTCTCAGCGAGCAGTTCGCCCGGCTCCCAGGTCCGCTCCAAAGGCTCCCCGAGGTGCTCTTAGGGAGGCTCGCTGCCCCGCCGTTCCAGGCTTGCTGAAGGCGCGGGTGTTCTTAGAGGTGTTCTCGGGCTCGGGGCCTCTCAGCCGTGCCATGAGTCGACGCGGGTGCCGCGTTTTGGCCTGGGACATCCGTCACGGGGCTGAGTGCGATCTGAGGGGCCCCGCCAAGCGCCGACTTGTGCGCGGCTGGATTTTGGGGGGTCTGGTTCTTGGGTTGCATCTCGGCACTCCGTGTGGGAGCTGGTCGAGGGCCCGCGATATTCAGCCAGGCCCCCCGCGCCTCCGCTCTGATACGCATTTTCTTGGTCTGCCTGATTTGAGTGCTTCCTCCCAGTCTGCAGTCGATTTTGGAAATCTGATGATGATATTTTCAGTGTCGCTCCTCCTAGTGGCGAAGCGCATGCAGGTGCCTTGCTCTATGGAGAACCCAGGCACCTTGCGGATTTGGCTTGCTCCCGCTGTCGCGTCTCTCATCCGATCCAGGGCCTGGGCTCTTGTCAACATTGATTTTTGCCAGTGGAGCGCGCCTTGGAGGAAGCGCACGTCTTTCTTGGCCGCCCACCTCGACCTTGCTCCACTCGTCAAAGTGTGCAAGCGTGTGCACGGGTGCTGTAGCCGGAGCGGTCGCCCCCACCAAGTCCTAGAGGGTCGGGCTCCCGACGGTCGATTTTGGACCGCTGTCGCCGACGCTTATCCCTCGCCCTTGTGTCGACAGCTGGCGCTCCTCTTCGATGATGCTATCGTTTGCCGAAGAGCGTCCGCTATGCAGAATATTATGTCTAGAGTGTAAATGAGTTTTACGGCCTTCGGCCATTCGACTGTTCTGGGCAAGTGTCTGTTCTGGCGTGTTCGATCTAATCTCGATTTAATCCTGGTTTGATCTGGCTCGGCCTGTGGCGTGTCGCTGCCTCCCCGGAGAAAACGGAACGCCTTCTTGTAGAGTTGGCGCTTCGCGCATGGCACGGCCAGACGGCGGGGGATACAGTTCAGTGTCCCACACGTATTTGAATCCTCGCCGTCGGTCCCGTTGCCGTCCATCGTGTCCGATGGCCACCTTTGCTCAAGTCCCCCTCCCTTCCTCCCTCTTTGCTTTCTTTTCCTCTGCGCCCTCAGCCTGCAGATGGCGTGTTCGATATAATCTCGATGTAATCCTGGTTTGATCTGGCTCGGCCTGTGGCGCGTCGCTGCCTCTCCAGAGAAAACGGAGCGCCTTCTTGTAGAGTTGGCGCCTCGCGCATTGCACGGCCAGACGGCGGGGGATACATGATAATGTCATCGATCGACTGGCAATTTACTGTTTCCTCCAGCAAAGCGGTGATTATGCATCGTCGATCTTCGCTTAGTTTCCGACGTCGTGCTTCTATCGCAAATCGGGCCTCGGGCCCTCGGATGTCTCGATCTTTTTTTTGCTGGGGCCAGTTTTCCGTCCAGGACCTTTTGTTTATCTCTTCTGGCGGCCCCCAGCGCGGAAGGGGCTCCCATAATCCTGAAACTTTATGCGCTTTGCCGTCCTATTTTTTCGAGCCTTCAGCGTTCCCCCTCTGTCGAGAGACAGCAGAAGATGCGAATACCCCAACGTGCATGGTGAGAGGGAGGAAGGCCGCAGTGTGCCCCAGGCAAAGACTGCGGCAAGGGTAAATCACACAAGCGTCGAGATAAATCCATAGATCTCCCAAGGAACCTGGAATATATCGTGGAACTTCAGCGTCGCCCAGCCCTCAACGAACCCATCGAAAAGCGGGGGGCCGCAGGTTGCCCTGGGCAATAGGGCCGCGATGTGTACACATATCCAACGCCGCTGGCCAGGCCCATGCTGGACCCAAGCGCGGTGCTCGTGCCTTCCTGTCCAAGCCACTGGGCGTACAGACCCCTCCTGAGCCCACGACGGGCCTGGCCAGCGGCGGTGGATACGTGTAGACTTCGTTGTCCTAGAGCAAAACAAGTACGGTGGCGAGGAGGGGCGCGTCCGCAGGCCACGGCCGGGCTCCTGTTGTCCTGCCTGCTGGAGAGCAGGCGCGCACAGCTGTGGCCACCATTTTCAGTCTCGTGTAACCGACTCCAGTCCCCATCCCCGTCCAGACCCCCACCACTTCAACACCCCAGCTAGTTTGGGATAGACCCTTCGAATCCCGGAGGGAAGTGCCGATACTTCCCATGTAGAGGGGAACATGGGCCAGTGGGGCCGCGGGGGTAGGAATCGGTTACAAGATGCTCACAATGCTCGCTTGGAGACCGGTTTTTCCATCGACATCTTTCGGACGTGTGCATTTTTCATCGGCGACAACTGTCGAAGAACACCGTGGATCATCTTGCTGTTGAAAAAAAAACGAAGCAGAATAATGCACGGGGATCGGACGTCCGAGCGATGGCAAGTCTTGATCCCGTGGCGATAGCGGACGTGACCAGGGCGGGAGCGGATTAGGGGGCGGGTCACGTCATTATTCGCGCCGGCGCCGTCTGGGAATGCCTGGCATGGCTCATTCCCAGGCGGCGCCGTCGCGAAATTCCCAAAATGTTCAGTGCAGGTGCCTTGGAGGCTTTTCCAGCATGTCCCCCCGCTGGAACTTGACAGGCCCAGCGGCGGCTTCGGGTCTGCCTCAGGTGGTCTGGTTGCTAGTCAGCCGGCTCTTGTGGCAGCCGCCTCCCGTCGACCCCGTCGTTCCCGTCGCCGTCGACGCCGTCGATCATAGGAGGAACAGGTGCGGATGCCGACGTCCTTGCCTCGTCCTCGCCCTTCTCGGGCCTCCTGGGAGGCCCTCGTCGCCACCGCTGGACTTGCCTCGAAATGCTGGTCGGAGCGCGCCCCGGGAGAGGTCCAGGGCGATGCGGTGCGTATCGGCATTCTTTGTTCCCCCAGTCGACGTCTTCGGCGTCGTCGAAGTCGTCGGCGTCGTCGAAGTCGTCGTCGTCGTCGTCGTCGTCGTCGTCGTCGTCGTCGTCGTCGTCGTCGTCGTCGTCATGTTTGTCGTCGTCGTCGAAGTCGCCGTCATCGTCGTCATCGTCGTCGTCGTCGTGAGCGACGGCGTCGTTGCCGTCGTCGTCGTGGTCGAGGCGTCGTCGTCGATACCCTCCGCTGCCTTGGCTGTGCTGGACTCGGGTCGAGGTGGCGCGCGCGGTCGTCGGGGCTCGCCGAGCACAGGCCCCCGGTGAAGAGCTCCGCGGCGGCTGGCGGATTGGAGTCTCGTGCCCTCTGCAGGCAAAACCCTTCGTATGGAAGCAGTACGTCAGCAAGGGGGCCCCTGCATCCCTGCCTCGTCGGCCAATCCTGAGATAGTTCCCGCGTCCAGGGTCGTACCGCTCAGACGGTCCGAGGGTCTCGTTTTCTTGCCGTGCGTCCTTACTATCGAATTTGACTCTAGTGGTTTTGTCCGTTGCGGCCTCTTGAGCTGGCATGCTGACCATCACAATGTTTTGGGTTTGCATCGGCTGCGTGCAAAACGACCTTTCGCGGGAGTAACCTCTGGTGCTTGCCCACAGTGTTCCCCCCCGCATTGGCCTGCACGTTCGGATTTAGCGTTCCCGCGGCCCCATACAGCCGCGCACCAAAGATCACTCTTGCCTAGACTCTTGCGTCTAGCCGATTGTGCAACAACTTTAGCGTTTTTCTCGAAAAGGGCGTGGGCCCAGGGTTCTCATCTACGTAGTTGGTAAACTTGTCTTTGGTGCCATGTGTGGGGTGGGCCAGTGAATTTCTGGTTGATGGAGACGTCCAATGTAAGTTGAATAAGTGCGTTCTGTGCCAGCCCCTCGGAGAAAGTGCGCCCCCCATCTCGGATCTCTCATGAAGAACTGGGTTCACAGACCCCCTCATTGCACGTCGAAGAAAATGCGTGCGGAGCGTTTAAAGGAGCGTTTTCCGCCGCTGCTGGCAGGGGGGTGTTCACCCGCCCCTCCAAGACCAGGGGGGTGATCCGGATCCCCCCCCGCCACCCTGGGAAAATGATTGGGGAGAATCTCCTCTGCTCCTGTAAGCGGTGGAGGCTCGCTGGTACCCAAGGCTAGACGCGCGGACATCAATGTTGGTGACGTCACGATTCCTGTGGAAGGGCCGTTCACTGCAACGGCATCTGTGGCAACATCGGTGAGGTATGACAGAGGCCGCAGCATCCAGAGGGAGCCTGACAACAGCGAAATTGGGATACGAATGAGCACTACTATGGTAAAGATGGACGGTGGATGCACCACCACTTCTTCCGCAATTGCCCGTGATGGAATACCTACTAATACAACAAGAGGTTCTGTCCCACGTAAGGAAACTGTGAAGGGGGTAAGGCGTGATACCACATACAATTTTGAAATCGGTTGTTGAGTCAAGCCCATGTTGTCGACTGCCGATCATTTTTCAGGAACGTGCGGTCTAACCGTACGTAGCCTCGGGCCAACACGTCTTTGACCACGAAAATGCAAGGCTCAGCTGTATGATGGTCGGTGATTGCGTGTTCTCGAATATCAAGACACATATGTACTCTGGCCAAGAATACTGCGATGAGCTGGCGCACTGTGTTATTTGTGGGATGCGTCAGTGTGCCTTGGTCTGTTTCAAAGATTTGCCAGGAGTAGATGCGATCCCACCCTGTGCGCCGTTAAAGCGTTTGGGGGGTCGGCGCCGGGAGTGCCAATGCGTCTTGGGAGTTCACGAGATTGGGCAATACCGAAGGGAGCTGTAGCTAGGCCTAAGCATCCTGCCGCGGGGGAGTTCATATGGCTCCGTCCCTGCCGTCGCCCGCCTCCCCCGCCGCTGTTGATCATCGACATTTGTCATCGCGTAGAGTAGACCGCAGCTGCTTGGGCTGCGAGTTTGACAGAAAAGGTCAGCGCGCCCTCCTGTAGCGCGTGCACTCGTTCGCTAGTCTTTGCTTAGCGGGTTCATTCTATATGATGGCCAAGTCCATGTGCGTCCGAGTCACTGAGGTAGTAGATCAAGGGGCGATGGCAGAACAAAGCCATATACCGTTAATTGTGCCGGCATCTTTTGATCCTCCGGCAAATAGCCTGGACGGCCGAACGACCCGTCACCAGCCATACTTAAGTGGCACGGTTGGCCGCGTGAACAGTTCATGCAGCAAGGCAGGTTGTGCCAAGACATCGAAGCAACATCGACGGCCATCGGGCGGGCACCCGAGGGGCGGGCCGCGCGCGAGGCTGCTGGAGGAGAAGGAGGAGCAGGCCGCGGCGGGTGTGAACACCATCGTGGAGGTCGGCTGCGTTCCGCTGTGCGTCTCCCCTCCTCGGCCCCCCTTTGCCCTCCCCCTTCCCCCGCCCCTCCCCTTGCTCTTCCTCTTCCCTCCCCCCTTCCCCTCCCCTGCCCTTCCGCTCTCTTCCTCTCTCTCCCCCGCCCTCCCCCCCCTTCCCCTCCCCCCATTCCTTTCCCTTTCCCCTGCTTTGGCGGGGTTGTCGGCGGGCCGGGGGCACAGGTCCTCGGGCTTCGGGGCACGTCCTGAGGCCGCCTTCCGCGCGGGGCCACACCATGCTCGTGCTCCCTCTCGGCGGCGAGCGCATGGGGGGAAGTGAATACACCAGAGAAAACCCCAATCAGTGGGTGGTTTGATCGATAAGGAGATCGACCAGGAACCCGGGAACCCGGAACCCACCCAAATCGGCCCCGAACCAATCTCCAGGAACCCGGGAACCCGGAACCGGGAACCCGGGAACCCAGCGTGCGACCAAAATCGGCGGTAAACATTCGTTAAATCTTTCAATTATTGCGATGACCCCGTCAGTACACGCTCTGATTGGGGAAAAAAGGAAGGCCTTCCCTGGAGGCCCGGAAGTCCCCCGGCCTTCCGAGAAGCTTACCAGGCCTCCCCCCCAGACAGAAAATTTGGCAGGAGGCCGGGGGGGTCATCAGAGACCCCGCCGCCATCTGAAAAAGGCCCCTTCCTTGTCACTTCCCCACCTCGATCGCCGCCGACCCTTCTTCCGAGCGGGCGCAACACGATAGGGGTCTTATTGCGAGTTCCAGGTCCGTTCTGACATGCGTCCGCATATCGGAAACACATCAACGCAATGTGAACAGATCGGTGGGATGGACGGGAGCAGGAGCCATATTCTTTTGGAAATATCCATATTTTTTAGGGGGTACCACAGTTTATTTTCTGAGGGTTCGACATGTGTGTTCATAGCATATGTATTTGTTTAAACAACGAATGAAGTGAAACGGTCGGTTGGTTGGGTGGCCAGGTGGCCAAATGGCCCGTTGTCCGGTTGCTCGGTTGCTCGAGTGAGTGGTTGGTTGCTGGGTTGATTCGCTGGGTGGTCGGTTGGTCGGTGGGTTGCCCAGTTGGTTGGTTGGTTCCTTTGTTTATCGGTTGCCCGATTGGTTTCTGGTGGATTGGTTGATTGTTTGGTCGATGGGTCCATTGGTTGGGCGGTTGGTTACGGTTGGTTGGTTGGTCACTTCATCAGTTAACCAATCAGGACTGGTCGGTTTGTCGGGTGGATGGCGGCGCGACGCGGGCCATGCACGGCACGTCATGGTTTGGCAGGTGGGTTGGTTTTTCTGGTTGCTTGGCAGACTAAATGGTCGGTTGGTTGGTTGGGTGGTGCGTTGGTCGGCCTATTCCATTGTGTTCTTCGCATGGCGAAGCAAGGTAGCGGAAGCAGTTCGTATTTTTGTTGGGTTACGTGGGAACGTTTGGGGGAAGACCTATTATTCTATTGAATTCGCTACCTGGCAACGCAGCGGGCTGGCAACCTTTCAGGGGCGATCGAACGATATACTATTCGATTCGCCACGTGGCAACGCAGCGGGGCAGAACAAATACACTTCTATTAATTCGCCACATGCCAACGCAGCGAAACGGAAGCCCTTTTTTGGCCGGGTGGCTGGTTGTTTGGTTGCCCAGTTGGTTTGTTGGTTCGTTGGGTGGTCGGTTGGTCGGTTGGTGGCCTGGTTGGTCGGTTGGTCGATCCGTTGGTTGGTCGTTTGGTCGGTTTGTTGTTGGGATGCTTGGTTGGTTGGCGGGTCTGTTGGTTGGGCGGTCGGTTGCGGTTGGTTGGTTGGTCAGTTGGTTAGTTAGCCTACGGGTTGATTGGTCGGTTGGTCAGGTGGGTGGCGGCGCGACGCGGGCATGGCATTGCACGTCATGGGTTTGCTGGTCGGCCTGTTTTCCTGGTTGTGCGGCGGACTGATTGGTCGGTTGGTTGGTTGGTTGGTCGGCCTATTCGGCGGATTTGTTTACTCGCCGCTTGGCAACCCTTCAGGGGCGAACAAACACACTACTATTCTACTCGCCACGTGGCAACACAGCGGGCCGGAACACATACAACTCTATCCTACTCGCGAAATGGCAATGCAGCGAGACGGAATCAGTACCGTTCCGCTCTCTCTCGTCATGTGGCAACGCCAGGCGGGCGAAACAATTCTATTCCATGCGACTTGCGAAGTGGCAGCGCAGCGGTGCGTCAACAACTCCTATTCTACTATACTTGTGATGCGGCAAGGCCTGGGGGCAGACAAACAGATCGGTCCACTTTACTCGTCACGTGGCAAGGTCTGAGGGGCGAAACAAGTGGATTACTGAAATTCTACTCTTTCTCGCCAACTGGCAACGGCTGGGAGCGGAGAAACATTACCGTTCCACTCTGCTTTGTGTGGCTTAAATCTGGGTCGAGCTCCGAGCCAAGCAATCATCAGTGTGCCCTTTCCGAGAGACTTTGACACAACCCAAACATCATCGCATGAAGTACAAGGCCTCTCATGCTCCTCTGCCCCGCATGGCGGTGATGACGCCAGCCTTCCTCGCGACCGTGGCGCTGCTGCTCGTGGCGGCCAGAGGCGCCGGCTGGGCGTTCCTTCCTAGCCCATTTCATGGAGCTGTGACTGCCGGTGCGCGCGGCGCAGAGCCCATCCGCCCCGCAGCAGCTGCTGCGCGCATACGCCCAGATCGCCCAGTGCCTGCAGATTCGCCGGACCGGCCCTGTGCGTATCGCGGCCACGGTGCAGCAGGGCTTCTCGGCGGTGGTGCGTGCCGTGAAGCACTTCATGATGCAACCGCCAGAGGTCTAGCCATCCCAATCTCCGCCACCCTCTTCTTGCTGTTGACCGATGGCGTCGTGAGGCTTGTCCCACGCGGAACCGCGCGAGAAGTGGCGAAATATGCAGACGCGGTGGGCAACCTCTTCGGCGCCGCGGGCGCCAGCCGGGAGGACTTTGGGGCCAGCCAGGAAGCGCAGGCCATCCAGGATCTACTTCGCGCTCAGGGGGGTCCTGGACCAGGGGCCTGCCCGAAAATCTGCGGGACGACGAGACGTGCAAGCTTGTCATCGGGGCCCTCGATGGCATGATCGACAACCTGAGCTAGACTGTGCTGGACTTCACCAGAGACAGGTCGTCAAGGGCGGCTGGAATGCCCAGGAGGCGCGGAAGAAGCGGCGGCCCAGCGTCTGCCCCGAGGGTTTCTGTTGGACTGGCGAGCAGCTTTGCTTGCCCTGGCCCACGCAGGAGCCCTAGACACTTTTTCAGGAGTTTGGCCGCGCAAGTACCGCGGGTGGGCTCGAGCGTGCCGTCGCTGGCAAGGCGGACAGCTCCGTGGGTGCCAAGCAGCCCGTTCCCGACGGGGCCATGGTCGTCCTCTTCGAGGCTGGCAAGTGCACTGAGAAGGTCGGCCGCTGGTGCTACGCCGCCTGCCTTGCTGGCATGGCGTCGGTTGGGTTGCATTGCAAGACGTAGTGCCAAGGCGAGTTCCCGCCCGACGATGGTGCGAGGATGTGCGGGCACAACCTGGGTGTGCTTGGAGAGGCTGTCGTGCGCAGGCTCATTGGAGTCGCCTGGCGCCATCAATTCCGGCCTGCTCGTCTCCTCGATGGCGAATTTCGGGGTTGATACGGTGTTCGCATGGCAAAGCCGTCCAGGCTTAGCCGCGCAGCTTGATTTTCCTCCCTCCTCTCCTCCCCTTCCCTCGCCGCGTCGGTCGCCTTGTCCTCATTCGCCCCTCTCTGTCGTCGCCGTCGTGTCGCGTCCGTCCGTCGTCGTCGTTGGCGCGCCTGCCTTCCATGTGAACTTACGTGTGCTTGTACAGCGTGGGAGGTCCCCACTTGCGCGCGGGCCCGCCCTGCGCCTCCACTCCGAGGCAGCGGGGTCGTGACGCATGGGCGTGTTATCGCGTTTGTCGCGCGTGCTTCCGCGTTCTCCGTGTTATCGTTGACGTGCACGTGCGTTTGTGCAGCATGGATTACCCCCCATGGTGCGTGGAGGCCGCCCTATGCCTCCACTCCGCGGCTGCGGGGCCGTAGTGCTTCGGCCAGCTCGCAGCCCAGGGATAGCTCCTTGCACGTTTCCTGCTTTCGTAAAAAAACATGTTCTGTTGCATGCCTTGCTTTCGCGCCGGACCTTGCGCAGGCCGATCCTTCGCGCCCGCATCACGTGTGTGGCGCCCGCGGGTTGTGTCTTCAAGTTTCGGTGTGTTGCGCGTCGGGTCTCTTCCACTTCCCCTCTCCTTCCCCTCTTCCCCCTTCCTTCGTGTCTCCTCCCACGATGTCATTCTTAGTCACCGCCGCCACGGTCGTGCACTGTCGGTCTCACGGCGTTCGGGCTTCGCGCCTCATTGATGACGCTATCCGTGTCATCCTTTGAGAGTTTTTTCCGATCAGTCGTTGGTCCCCAGCTCTCCACCATATCACTCGCTGCGCTCTACCGTGTGGGTGTGGAGTGTGGCCGTGGCGAGCCTCGATTTCCGCCCGCCCTGCCCGCCCTCGTACATGCCTCCCTTCTCTCTTTCTCGCTTCTTCCTTCCTTCGCGCATGCAGCGCGCTCGTTCCTCCTTCGGGCCGCGGTTCGTTGCGTGAGTTTGCCCATCGCACGTCGGCTTCGTAGTGTTCCCGGTTTGCCCAGCGACCTCTCCATTCACACAGCGGTTGAGGCCGAGTTTAGTGAAGTTCAGTGATCGCGTTCCTTCTTCCTCCTCCTCCTCCTTCCCTAAAGAACACTCGACTCGTTGCGTTGCGACGCCTGGAGGCCAAACAAATAATATTCAACATTGCTCGCCACGTGGCAGCGCATTGGAACGTCAAACATTTGAGCTTCGTTTACTCGTCACGTGGCAACGCCTAGGGGCGGGGAACAGATAGATTCCATTATGTTAGCTGCGTGGCCACGCTTGGGGCGGAACGAAATACTATTTCACGCATGGGGGGGTCGAAACATTTCATTCCGTTCGCTACGTTGCAACAGAAGATGTACGACCATATTAGATTCTACACGCCACATAGGAGCTTCATTTTCCCCGCGATAGCAGCCGTCACAGGCCCGGCCCCGCGCACCCCCACCCATTTGATGTCACGTTCCGCGCCGGCGGTTTCCGCGGAGGCCTAGGGATGCCCGAGGCCAAGTAGGAACAGCATGTCGGTGGCTATCTGCACCACAGCGCTTGTGCACGCCACAGTGCTCGCGTGCACCACAGCGCGCGTGTACGCCACAGCACCCATGTACACCGCAACAACCGTGTGCAACCAAAGCAGCGCCTGCAGCACAACGCGCGTGTACACCACAGCGCCTGTGTACACCGCAGCAGCCGTCTGCAACACAGTGCCTGTGCACACCACAATGCTTGCGTGCACCGCAGCGCCTGTGCACCCCACGGCGCCTGTGTACATCACAGCATCCGCGTGCAACACAGCGCTGGTGTACACCACAGTGCCTGCGTGCGCAGGACAGGTAGAAGGAGCACGTAGGCCAATATCTGCTTCGGACAGCTAAACACCACGCAAGGTGAGTGCTGATAATATAATGCGATTTGTTTCCCTGCTCCCCCCTTCTCCTCCTCCTCCTCCTCCTCTTCCTTCCGCATGCTTCCCCGTGGGTCGGCGCTACAGCTTACGAGCGCAACTCAGTGCGCATCCTGGAAACATGGGTTATTGAATCAGTCCGCTTGGTTCCCGGACGGCCAACCGAGCGGGAACCTTCTGGACGCAGATGGGAGAAGTTAGGATGATGCGGGATGACTCGGACGGTTCCGTCGTAGATTCCAGAGGCGTGCTGTCTACAATTTTTTTTTTTTTTTTTTTTTTTTTTTTTTTTTTTTTTTTTTTTTTTTTTTTTTTTTTTTTTTTTCAATCTTGTACAACACATATGTTTTTTGTGGAATCCACAAGCGCTCCATTTTGGCATAAGGATTACTCGAAACTTCTATATGCAACACTGGTGTTCTGTTGCTCACGGTTGATGTTGTGCACACAGGCGCCGTGGTGTAGACAGTCGTTGTGGTGTACACTGTGTGCTGTGTTGCATACGGTTGCCGTGGTTTACGCAGGCGTTGTGGTGTACAGAAGTGCTGTTGTGCATGCAGGCACTGTGGTGTACGTTTGGCGTTATGCTTCGCACGGCCGCTGTTGTGTACATTGGCGCTGTGCTGTACAAATTGCGGTGCGCGCAGGCACTATGGTTCACACAGACGCTGTGGTGCTAATCGCCGCCTACATGCTGCTCCAACCCGTCCTCGGTCATTCCTGGGCACTCCCAGACGCCGCTGGCGCGAAACGTGACGTCACCCTTCCCCTTCCCCCCCCCAGTGATGGCCGCCATCGCCCTGGAATGAAAAACAGGCTCTAGCAACGCAGCGATGCAGATTTGTATTCGCCACGTGGCGACGCCAGCAGTGGCGAAACGAAAGGATTCTATTCTAGTCGACGCGTGGCATCGCTGCGAGGCGGAGGACGCACAATTCTATTCAATTCGCCAAGCGGCAATTCAGGGGGGCGGAAACAAAACCAGCCACTCTCTGCTCGTCACTTGGCAAGGCTTGGGGGGGGGGGGAATCATGGCTGGCGGCGGGTGGCCGACGCCCGGGCTTAGATCCGGCAGCAATCGGCACAGTCTCGCACAGATCGCGCATCGGAGGCCAGAAGCAAGTTGTAAAGTGTTTGAACCCTCGGCCGGCGGCGGACGCCCGGGCCTCGAGCGTGCGTCCATGGGCCAATGTTCGTACACCACTTGCATGGGTCGCGCCTCGGGGGCCGGAAACAATTGCATTGAACCCTCAGACAAGGTTAGCCATACCAAAGTAGTGCTTGAATCTTCAATACGTAATTTGATTGAACCCCCATCCCTCTCTCTCTACACATATTTCTATACATATATATATATACATTTATGTGTGCATATATATATATATATATATATATATCCGTAAGGGCTTCGCCCCCTGACGCCGGCCCCCTCTCTCGGAGAATGGGCCATGGAATAGCTAAGTCATGAGGCCTTGGCGCTGTTGTGAAGCAGTGTCGAAACTTCATGCGAAGCCGAACGCAATCAGCAAAACCAACTGATCACAAGAGGGGTTACCACACCTGGCGATTGGTAAGACGTGTATGGTGTACGGGCTTGGTGACCACACCTTGCGATTAAAGGGCCGAGGGAGTTCTCGCAGTTTGGGTTACCACGCCTTGCTATGGATGTGCGTGAAGGGTGGCACCGAATTTCAGACATGTGCCAAATCCCTTGTGTTTTTGGACCCTGACCCCGCGGATCTGCGTAAGGGGTGGCGCCGAATGTCAGAAAGGTAGCAAATCCCCGTTTGTTTGGACCCTGACGCCGCGGATCTGCGTGAGAGGGGTGGCACCGAATTTCAGAAATGTGCCAAATCCCATGTGTTTTTGGACCCTGACCCCGCGGATCTGCGTAAGGGGTGGCGCCGAATGTCAGAGAAGGTGGCAAATCCCATGTGTTTTTGGACCCTGACCCTGCGGATCTGCGTGAGGGGTGGCACCGAATTTCAGAAATGTGGCAAATCCCATGTGTTTTTGGACCCTGACCCCGCGGATCTGCGTGAGGGGTGGCACCGAATTTCAGAAATGTGGCAAATCCCATGTGTTTTTGGACCCTGACCCCGCGGATCTGCGTGAGGGGTGTCGATTTCGAGCCCCCCCCAGCAATTCAGACAACGCGCCCAGGGGACGCTAAAAATCCCGTTTGGGCCTCCCCCCCCCTCGCGCGGTCAATCAACTAGTTACAGTAACCAGCAAGAAGTCAACTAGTTACAGTAAGCAGCAAGAAGCAGAACTGTAACACTGGAAACTACAAACTACAACTGGTACAGGAAACTGCGAATCACGCGCCTCGCAGCCTGGTGGCCCCACAAGGGGGCCGGCGGATATATACACATGGCGCAAGTGCCTCTAACTCTAGCTTGCCTCCACTCTCTGACCTCGCCTCTCTGCCCTTACCTCTCTGCCCTCCCTCTCCCTTTCCCTCTCTGCCCTCCCTCCCCTCTACCCTCCAGGGACGAGAGGGGGGCTGCCAGGGCGGCGCGAGAAGGAAAGCGGAGCGAGGGGGCGAGAAGACGATGGGGATGCAGGTTGGAGCCGGCGGGGGGTCCGAGGTGGCTCAGCCGTGGTTCCGGCCAGCAGGAAGGGGGGGCAGTGTTCTAGGTTTTGGGACTCTTTGTTTTGTTCGGCCTCCAGGGGCCGTTTTCGTGCTCTGGGACTGTCCAAAACGGATCCGTGGTGAAAAGTTGCGCCAGATGAACTCCTTGAAGGGTCCAGGGACCAGAATTTTTGGAGGGGGCCTTCAGGGCCCGAAAGGGGAACCTTTCTGCCCCCTCATTAACTCGCGCCCCAAATTTCAGCGGATTGGCCTCGCCCTCCGTCTTGATCGACTTCTCTGGGGCCCATTCGATTCTGACCCCCTGGCCGTCCCCAACGCGGATCGTGGGGGCTCAAAGACAGCGGGGATGCGAGGAAGGGGAGCCCCCAGTGGCTCGAGGATTTTGCCCGAATCGAATCTGCGGGGTCAAGCCAGAGCAATCTGTAGGTGAATTTGAGTACATTCCAGCACATCCAGACACATCCAGATACATCGAGGAAATTCCAGAGATATCGCGGAGGCTGCCGCGCGAGTCGAGGGACTGCAGAAGTCGTTAAGCCCTGAACGAGGGAGTGGGAGGGAGGCGATGGGGATGAGTGGGGGGGCGGGTCTCGAAGGAGAAGTTCCGCGCGAATTTCTTGGGTCGGCGCTGGACCAGCGCAGATCCAAGACATTTGCGCAGATCTCCGACAGTTTATGTGTATGCCATTATTTGTTCTTCTAGATGAGACGGGGGCAATGGTTCTCACGATTTTCTCATGACGTCGACCCCCAGAGGTCGGCACGCCTTCCTCAGGATCGGTTTTCCACCCTGACTGGGTGGACTGAAAGCGTCCACACGTGTCTTGCCAAGACCTTGAGTCATAAAAGTACGTCGGACCAACATGTGTATCCCCTCCCCTCAATTCAAAGTTGACGGGCTTAGGCGGTAGGCCAAAGGCTAGGGACAAAATGTGGACACTTCAACTTTTGGCTTGGGGGGAGGGGTGCGAAGCAAGGGCATTTCGCATTTGTGGCTGTTATCATGTTGCATCGCCTTTCCGCCATGGGTGTGGAGACTTTTTGTCCGGGCACCGGAGTAAGGTTTTTGACGGTCCCGAGGCACCCAGAGGTCGAAAACAGTCAAAACACAACGTCTTGTTGTTTGCAAGACGCTGGATGTCTAGGAGGAGGGGCAGGGGAGGGATGGCCAGCAGGAGATGGTGGCCTGCTCGCCCGGCTGGTGCTCCGCCGACGGCGACGGCAAGACCGCGGACAAGGCCCGGCGGTGCCCCAACGCCGGTAAGAGGAGGACAGTGGCGCCAGGCGATCAAGGAGGAGGTCGGGGCAGGGCTGAGGAGGGGAGCGCAGTGGCCGACACGGAGTGGGAGGAGATGAGGGGTAACGACAGGGCGAGCGTTATCGGGGTTCGGACTTTTCGGGTCTCGGTGATTGTCCAGTTATGGCCCGAAAGCGAGGGAGCAACGTTGAGGGGGCCCAGGTGGGAATGCATCGAGCCCCAAGCGCCCATTCATCACCGATAGGGGCCCGATGGCCCACCCCGCCCGGGAACGTGCGGTCTCGCAATCAGGGGCCTATCGCCGACCAGTCGACGATGTGTCGCCGATGCCATGCCGATGTTTCCCTCCTTTGAGCCAGTCTCCACCTAACGTTCCCCCTCAGGTTTGATGTTCGAGTTCCGAGGATCGAGAATCGAGGATGGAGGTTCGAGGATCTAGGTAAGATGGTCGAGGTTCGAGGTTCGAGGATCGAGGATCGAGGCCTCGAGACATTTCTGGCCATCTTCGGGGGCCTCTCTGGGGAGTCCTGGAGGCTCCAGTTGGCCCCAATAGCCAGTCTTCCTCCCTACAGGTTTGAGCGCGCGTTGCTCCCTCATCATCAATATTACATTCGAGAGGGAGGGGCAGCCAGGCCAGGCGGGCAAGGATGATGAGGAGGAGGAGGAGGGCAGACCAGGGGGGCGTCTTTCCCAAACCAAGCCGGTCTTCCCAAACCAAACCTTCGCTTAGGGTGACCCAGGGCTTTATTTGGGAACACCCGGTTGCTTTGGGAAGACCAGTTCGGTTTGGGAAAGCCCAGTGTTTGGATTGGGAAAACCCGGTTGGTCTGTGAAGACCCGGGAGCTTGGTGGAAGACCTGGGGGCTTGGTTTTTGGGAAGATCCGGTTGGTTTGGGAAGACCTGGAGGCTAGGTTTGGGAAGACCCGGTTGGTTTGGAAAGACCCGCTTGCTTTGGATATACCAGGGGGCTCGGTTAGGCAAGACCCATTGGTTCGGGTGGACTCGAGGGCGAAACGAAGGCGAAGACGAAGGCGTGAACGAAGACGGAAAAGGGCCGAACGAAGGCGAGACGAAAGCGAGAACGAAGGCGAGAACGAGAGCGGAAACCAAAGCGAAACGAACACGAAACGAAGGCGAGAACGAAGACGGGAACGAGACGGAAACGAGCACGAAACGAGCGAGAAGTGAAGGCGAGAGTTATGGCGAGAACGAGGGCGGAAACGACAGCGAAACGAAGGCGAGACGAAGGCTGGAAACGAGGGCGGATACAACAAAAAACGAAACGATGGCGAGAACGGCGGCGAGAACGAGGGCGGAAACGAAAGAGAAACGAAGACGAAATGAAGGCGAGAACGAACGCGAAACCGAGATCGGAAACTGTGGCGAAACAATACGCGAAACGAAGGCGAACGCACAGGCAAAAACGAGACGGACACAAAAGCGAAACGCAAGCGAAGCGAAGGCGAGAACGAATGTCAGAACAAGACCGAACGAGGGTGACACGACACGACACGAAGGCGAGAACGAAGGCGAGAACGAGAGCGGAAACGAAGGCGACACGTTGGCGAGAACGAAGGCGAGAACGAAGGCGGAAACGAAAGCGAAACGTAGGTGGGAACGAAGGCGAGAACGAAGACGGCATTCTCGTCGAGTCGTCCTCCTGACAGCGTTCGTCCTGGTGCGCCTCTTCCTCGTCCTCCCCATCCTCCTTCCCTTCATGCCATAACCCATGAGGCCCTGGCCTCCGTAGTTTCAACCACGGACATATATATATATAGTAAAGCCAACCATGACTTGAGAACACACACCTCTTTCACTCCAGCCCGGTTGCGTAAGCATGCCGAGGCTCGGTTACAGCAGCTTTCAAGCAGAAATGATCGTCTGCGCCACTTGTACGGTCGATGTCCATTGGGAGGGTAGCCCTCTTGAAGGGCATTGGGCTTCACTCTCTCTGTCTCTCTCTTGTAGCTCTCTCGGTATTGTCTTCCCTGATCTGGCCTTCCCTTGCTGGCCAGTGTCGCTCCCCCTCCTCCTCCTCCTCCTCGTCCTCCTCCTCCTCCTCCTCCTCCTCCTCCTCCCAGCCTGGTGCCTCGTGGAAGACGTCGTCCTCCCCCCGTTCCCTCGCCAAGCCGCTTCCAGAAAGACATGAAGAACCGGTTGGTTTGGAAAGACCCGGTTGGTTTGGGAAAACCTGGGGGCGCGGTTTGGGAAGACCCGGTTGGTTTGGGAAGACTTGGGGGCGTGGTTTGCCAAGACCCGCTCGGCTTGGATGGTTTGGTAAGACCCAGCTCGGTTAGGCAAGACCCACTTGGTTCGGTCGGAACCAGAAGAGAAACGAAGGCGAGAACGAATGCGGGAACGAGAACGGAAACGAAGGCCAAACGAAGGCGAGACGAAGGCGAGAACAAGGCGAGAACGTCAGCGGAAACCAAAGCGAAACGAAAGCGAAACGAAGGCGAGAACGAAGACGGGATCGAGACGGAAGCGAGCACGAAACGAGCGCGAAGTGAAGGCGAGAGTTATGGCGAGAACGAGGGCGGAAACGACAGCGAAACGAAGGCGAGACGAATGCTGGAACCGAGGGCGGATACAAAGACAGACGAAGACGAAACGAAGGCGAGCACGAAGACGAGAACGAGGGCGGAAACGAAAGGGAAACGACGACGAAACGAAGACGAGAACGAAAGCGAACACGAGATCGGAAACTACCGCGAAACGAAAGCGGAACGAAGGCGAACATAAAGGCAGAACGAGACGGAATAAAAAGTGAAACGAAAGCGAAACGAAGGTGATAACGAAGGCGAGAACAGTACCGGAAACGAGGGCGAAACGAACCGAAACGAAACGAAGGCGAGAACGAGAGCGCAAACAAATGCGAAAGGAAAGCGGCACGCCGGCGAGAACGCAGGCGAGAACGAGGGCGGAAATGAAAGCGACACACAAACGAAACGAAGCGTGAACGAAGCGAAACTCTCGTCGTGGCGGTCCTCCTGACAGCGTTCGTTCGTCTTGGTGTGCCTCCTCCTCCGCGTCCCCGTCCCCCTCCTCCTTCTCTTCCTCCTGCTCCCCTCCTCCTCCTCCTCCCAAACTGGTGCCTGGTGGAAAACGTCGTCCTTCCCCCCTTTTCTCTCCAAGCCGCTTTCAGAAAAATTTGAAGGAGCGAACTGAATTCCAAAATTTTCCCACCAGCAGCGTGCCCAACTATGGCCTCAAGAAGCCGTCTGTGCCCGCCGAAACCTGAATCCTGCCCCCGTCGTCGGGGGCGGGCGGAACACGCAAGTATATTGCATCATCGAATTGGCGCGATTGCAACCTAACGGGCGGGTCTGTCGGGCGGGCGAGTCGAATCCGGCGGGCGGACCCTGACGGGCAAGTCAGGTCGGGCAGGCGGACCTTAACGGGCGGGTCGGGTTGGCGGGCGGGACATTCGAAAATTATGCATCATCGGACTGGCACACGTGTTCCCTAACGGACGGGTCGGTCCGACGGGCGGGTCGTGTCGGGCGGGTCCTTGACGGTCGGATCAGATCGAGCGGGCGGAACATTAAAGTATGATGCATCGAGTTGGCACGCGTGCGCCCGGCTTCCGTGGGCCCTCAGCGACGACGACGACGACGACGACGACGACGACGACGACGACTGCGACGACGCCGACGACGCCGACGATTACGTTGACCTCGACGTCTACGTGGACGACCATGACGACTGCGACGACGGCGACGACGACGACGACGACAACGGCTGCGACGACGACGACGTCGACCACGACAACGACGATGGCGACGACGACAACGTTGACGTCAACGTGGGCGACGACGACGGCGACGGCGACAACGGGGACGGCGACGACGGCGGCGACGTCGACGACCTCGTCGACGATGGCGACGGCGACGACGATAACGTTGACGTCGACGTGGACGACGATGACGACTGCGACGACGGCGATGACGATGACGGCGACGGCGGCGGCGACGACGATGTCGACCACGACGACGACGACGGCCACGACGACAACGTTGACGTCGACGTGAACGTCGACGACGACGACGACGAAGGCGGGAAAGATCTTGGAAATGAGGGCAACACGATGGCGATACGAAAGCGATAACACAGGCGATACCGAATGCGTAAACCAGAGCGAAGCGCACGCGAAACGAAGGCGAGACCGAAGGCGAAGACGAGGGCGGAAACGGGAGCAGAACGATGGCGAAGCGAAGGCGCGAACGAAGGCGAGAGCGAGAGTGGAGACGATTGCGAAACAAAATCGAGAACGAAGGCGAGAACGAGGGCTGAAACGAAGGCGAAGCGAGGACGCGAACGAAGGTGGGAACAAGGACGGACACCAAGCGAAACGAAGGCGAAACGAACGCGAGACAGATTGCGGAAACGAGGGCGAAACGAAGGCGAGAACAGAGGCAAGAGTCAGCGCGGAAACGAGGGCGAAACGAAGGCGAGAACGAAGGCGAGAACGAAAGTGGAAACGAGGGCGAAACGAAAGAAAAGTGAAGGCGAGAACGAAGGCGGGAACGAAGGCGGAAACGAGGACAGACATGAAAGCGACATTAAGGCGAGAATTAGGCGAGAAGATCCAGGGGAGTGGTTTGGGACGACCCTGATGGTTTGAGAAGACCTGGGGCGCTGGTTTGACAAGACCGGTTAAGTTGAGGAAGACCTGGCCGGTTGGTTTGGGAAGCTTGCTTTGGGAAGACCCCACGGTCTGGTCCCGCGACATTTGGTCTGGGAAAATCAGCTTGGTTTCGGAAAGCGCTTTCCTCGGAGGGCGGACCCTGTGGTGAACTGCGGCAGCTCTCAGGGGTCCCCTTAGAGACTTCCCCTAGACCCTCGGAGGCCTCTGAGAACCTGGGGGGGGGAGTCGAGCCGGACACATCCCGGGGGGGAGGGGGGGGGGGGGGGCAGCCTGGCCAGGCGCGCAAGTAGGAGGGGGGTGGAGGAGGAGGGCGGACCGGAGGTAAGATGAG